ATTGGAGGTTCACTCCATTAGACAAATTACACCCATAAATTTCTTCCCTACTCTAGGGATTTTGCTGAGACTGGTGAGAAGGAACCAAGCACTTAACTTATGAATCTACGACCAAGATTATGCGAACATAAATAAACACATGTGCACATGCACACAAACACATAACTAGTCCACATTCTATAGAATTCTGGTATACAGGACAGATCCGGATGGTTGGGGCTCTCGAAGGGATCAAGATGCCTTTGGCTAGAGATTTACTACATCCATCCTTGGAAGAGGAAAAGAAAAAACATAAAAAGAAACGCCTAGTTCAAAGTCCAAATTCTTACTTCATGGATGTAAAATGTCCAGGCTGCTACAAGATCACTATGGTCTTCAGTCATGCTCAGACAGTGGTTCTGTGTGTCGGGTGTTCACCAGTGCTGTGCCCTCCAACCCGGGGAAAGGCCAGACTCACAGAAGGTTGTTCATTTAGAAGAAAGCAACACTAATGATCTACGCAACTTGCTGAATTTGTTGTTTTCTCACAGAAAGCCTTATCATAAGTTCAGTAATTCTAGTTAATCTGCCAAGATAATGTAATTATGTTTGATTTTGTAAGGTATACAACAATGATCTCCTATTTTGGTGTCAGTTTTTCAATAAAGTTTTGATTATGACTAAAGAAAAAAAAAATTCTGGTATACACAGCTTTCAGTTGTTCCCAATAGTACAGTTTTAATTACCACAGTATATTTCTTATGAAAAATAGCATAAAGTGAAAATTTCACTGCTAGTTCTTTCACCTACAAGTCACCATGCAAATAACAGCTAATCATCATAAGGGCCAGCAGATGGCATAGTGGTTACATTGTTAGACTCCCACATGGCTGACTGCAGTTCAAGTCCTGGACTCAGTAGTTTGAAAATCACACCAGGCAAGGGGACCAGCAGATGTAATGGTTACGTTACTGGACTCCCATGCAGTCGACCGCGTGGTTTGAGACTCGGATCAGGTGGCTTAAACTCACACCAGGCATGTGTGTGTGCATGCTCAAGATCCCAAGAGGAGAAAGGAGGAGAAGTGTTTGTGGTGTGACCATCCCCCCTGGGGGTGATTTCTTGTTTTCTGTCTCTCTTTCTCTCTCTGTCTTTCCAGTGAGTGCGCGTGCCCTATACCAAAAACCTCTCTTAAAAAAAGAAAAGAAAATCACACTAGGCACATGTGCATGCATGCCCAAAATCCCAGGGGGAGAATGGAGGAGATGGGATTAAAGTGTGGCCATCCCCTCTGGAGATGATTTCTCACTTTCTCTCTCACTGTCTGTCTCTCTCTCCAGTGAGTGCATGCGTTTAAGGCAACAATTATTTTTTAAAAAAAAGATTATCATCATGAACAGTAACCAATCATATAGCTTATTTTAGTCTGCTGGCAATTGGTCATCATGTCTTCACAGATAGCAGTGTATAGTTGGTTTTCCTCCTTGTCTCCCAGTGATAAATTCATATGACATTTTACAAAAATAATAACGAACAGAGAGTATTGGCCAAACAAGATGAAAATGAGCAAAGAAATGAAAAATGATAATGATATAAGTGAAACTGCATGTGATTAGAAGATTTGTAAATGGAAACAACAAAAACAGAGAATGAGACCTAAGCTCATAAGAACTAAGACAAATGATGTTGAAAAAAATCTGATGAATATGATAAAAGGTAAAGTCACTTCAACTTCTTTTAGTTTAGATTGTACTAGAAACAGACGCCACCATGGTTGAAATGGAGCATTTTCTTGTATTTAGTTTGAAGATTAATTTAAAAAAAAACTGCTGGGACCTTTAGATGGCATAGTAATTATGTTGCTGGACTCCCACACAGTCGACTGGTTCAAGTCCCAGGCCTGGCAGCTTAACACTCATGCTGGAGGCCAGCAGGTCGCGTGATGGTTGAGGTGCTGGACTCCCACATGGCTGATCACAATTCAAGTCCTGGACCTGGCAGCTTGCTTACTCATTTTCTCTATGTGTCTCTCCGGTCAAATTAAAAGTAAACTTATAGATAGGGGAATCAGCTTGTGGCATGGTGCCTAAGGCGCTGAACACTCCCTCATGGTTGACTATGGTTCGAGTCCTGAACTTGGTGGCTTGCTTGCTTTCTCACTTTCTCTCTCTCTCTTTCTATGTCTCTCTCTGGTCAAATTAAAATAAGTGAATGAATAAATAAAATTTTTTTAAAAAGAAAAGCTTTTAAAAAAAGAATAAATAAATAAATGCAATTATATCTTAGGGGAAAAAAAAAACACAACAACTCATGCCAGGTGCCTGTGCATGCCCGAAATCCCGAGAGGATAATGAAGGAGAAAGGATTGTGGCATAGTCATCCCCCCTAGGGGGTGATTTATCGCTTTCTGTCTCTTTGTCTCTCTGATGAGTGTACATGCCCAATAGGAAAAATATCTCTTAAAAAAATCCCAATCAGTGTTCAAGGCATTGAGGTCAATTGCCACATTGAAAGAAAATATTGTTCCAAAGAGTCTGAAGAAACCTTACTGTCAGGAGTGGCTGGTTTCATTATTTCAGAAATCAGCATGAATTGATTAATATTAAGCTATCTGGAGAAGCTCCTAATGCAGATAAGGATGCTGCTATGAAATTGGCACCTACATTCTAGGGATTAGTTAAGTCAGGTAAATGTGGTTAAAAAAAATATGTCCCAGAAAAACTTATGCTGGTAACAGCAGCAACAAAAACTTCAAGTTAATGCAACTCTAAGACATTTCATGACATTGAAAGCTCAAAGGATAAAATGTTGGAAGCTGACCCATACTTAAAAAGGAGTATCTCACCAATTCATAGGAAAAAAGGAAGGACCAGCAGGTGGCATGGTAGTTAAGGCACTGGACTCCCACATGGCTGACAGCAGTTCAGGTCCTGGACCTGATGGCTTGCTTTCTCACTTTCATTCTCTCTCTCTGTCTCTGTCTCTCTGATGAGTGTATGTGCCTGGTAACAAATTTTAAGATAATATTATAAATTTTAAAAGATAATAATAGTTCTTCTTTTCAACACTTTGCAATCTAGGTAATGTGGTTGAATGTATAAAAGAAATTGAAGTGGGACCAGCAGTTAGCGTAATGGCTATGTCGCTGAACTCCCATGTAGTCGACCACAGTTGAAGTCCTGGACCCGGTGGCTTAAACTCATGCTGGGCACGTGTGTGTACATGCCCAAGGTCCTGAGAGGAGAATGGAGGAAAATGGATTGCGGCATGGCCATCCCCCCAGGGGGTGATTTCTCACTTTCTATCTCTCTGTCTTTCTCTGTCTCTGGCAAGCTCACGTGCCCTAAAAACCTCTCAAAAAAAAAAAAAAAAAGAAAGAAAAGAAATTGAAGTAATAATAAAAATAATTTTTTTAAATAATGAAAAAGAGTAAAAAAGAATATGACAGTTCACTAACTCATACAATAGAAACAATTCTTGATTTCTGTGGTTCCAGCTACTCAAGAGGCTGAGGCAGGGTGAGACCTTGTTTTTTTTTTCTTTTTTAAGAATTATTTTATTTAACTTTATTTAAATTTGACCAGAGTGGTATAGAAAGAGAGAGAGAAGGTGAGAGAGCAAGCCACCAGGTCTGGAACTCCAATCGCGGTCGGCCCTGTGGGAGTCCAGTGCCCTTAATCACCATGCCACCTGCCGGCCCCAGGACCCTGTCTTAAAAAAAAAAAAAAAAAAAAAAAAAAAGATGCTTGATCTGTATCATAAATTATGTGGTAGAAAGAATAAAGCAAGCACTGTAGACATTCTTGATACTTTTCAATTTTTTTTTAGTTTTTTCCCATAGGTTGTGTGCTCTCACCAGAGAGATAGTGAGAGAGAAAATGAGAACTCGCTTACTGGCGGAATGGCCATACTTCATTCTCTTCTCATCCATTCTCCTCCTGGGATGATTTTCAGGCCTCAGGGTCCAGAAATTGAACCACTATCAGCCATGTAGGAGTCTAGTACCTTAACCACTGTGCCACCAGCTGGCCCTATCTTGATACACTTTTTACAAAAAAATAAAACATTCTATTTTGTTTCTTTATTCATAATAGAGCAAGTGTGGTGTGTGCGTACATGAAAGAGAGACAGAAAGAAAGAGATAGAGAGGCATGCCCTCCACAGGGTTTTTGTCATGCTGTAGTCCCTTCCTCTAGGACTCAAGCCCAGCAGATTCTGGTCATTTACACACATGCCTAGCATGGCTCAGACAGACCAGGCCACAGATTCAAACTGTGGTTGCCATGTGGGATCCAACTTCTCTTGAATAGCACATTACCACTTTTCTAGTCAGCCCACATTTTATTATTTTTATTTATTTGGTTTTTTTTGAGTTTTGCCATAGGGCATGTATGGTCACCATAGAGAGACAAAAAGAGAGAGAATGGGAAAATGCACCCACCCCCCACGGGCTTAGTCATGCCACTATCCCTTCTCCATTTCTCCCTCCTGTCAGGAGTTGAGGTACATGCACACATGCCCAGCGTATTTTTTAAGCTACCAGGTCAGACTTGAACTGCACAGTTGGCCATGTGGGATCCAGGCACCCTAACCACAATGCCACTGGCTGGCCCAGTCCACATTTTAATTGTTACTGTTTCTAATGTTTTAAATTACAGTGTAGTAAGTAAATATTAACAATACTTTTTTTTTTTCATTTTCTGATCTATAAATGACAGACAGTTTTAATGTTTTAGCCAAAATATTTAAAGGTCAGAACAATTGTACATGGTCTCATTGATGATTTTTTTGCAAGGTTTCAGCTTGCACAGTCATTTTTACAGTCCTGCATTACCATGCAAGGTGAAGACTGCTGGTTAAGCAGTTTCTAGAAGGCTATTGCCTTCCCATCTGGTACTGTAGCCACAGGGCAGATAGTTGGTAAAGCGGAGGAGGGCAAGAACAAGCTGGAACTCATGACTATGAGCTAGAGCCCACAAGGAGACAGTAGTCCGTGACAGTTCCTGTTACCTCTAATGTAGGTGGAGTGGGTGTCCTGGAGATGCCAAGGCTCTTTGCACAGAGCCACACCTGGCCCAGGAGTCAGAGAAGCTGAAGGAAGACTCAGGGAAAGGTGAAGCAGTTAGTGACACGGCCACTGCCTCCTGCCAATGAAGAGACAGCAGATGACCAACACATGTCAGCTGTAAAACGACTGATGGTTCTCTTCCACACTCCAAAGCTCCTGCAAGACTCTCCCGCGTGGCCCATGCTAACTGAAAACACATAGGAAGGAGAATCCTTGGAAATGAAAATCAATCTAACCAAACTGAGACATTACAAAGCCCCCATCCTTACTCTATAGTTCAATGGTTATGCACAGAAGTCCTGGAATCAGATTTCACGGGTTGGAATGGTGGCTGCTTTATTCCAAACTGCGTATCCAAAGGTTAGTTTCTTAGTCTTTCTGTGTGTCAGTTTCCTTGTCGATAAAATGAGAATATAATAGTAGTTCTTACATGATTCATTTGAGATTTAAATGAGATTTTATGTATATATCAATAGATAAGCTGTAAGCACATTATAGGCAGATTGTTTTATCATTTTAAAAATTCATGATAGAGTACCTACACATGCACAAAAGAGAACGAAAGAGAAACAGAGAGAGAAGTACCCTCCAGAGGACTTGGTCACACCATGATCTCCTTCTTCCATTCCTCCAGACTGACAGGATCTAAGGCACACACACTTCCGCCCAGTGTGTTTTCAGGCTGACAGGGCTGGAAACCTGAACCCCAGTCAGAGTATGGCTTCTGACTCCACAGGTCAGTATGCTACAAATTGTGCCACGGAGACTGGGCCTATTATTGATTGATTATCAATAAGATCTGGTCCATTTCTAAAAGTTCAATAAATATCATCTACTATTGTGTGACCTTGGGCAAATTATTTAATCTTTTTGGTCCTTAGGGTTTTTTTGTTTGTTTGTTTTTACTCTATTAAGAAGAGGTAATTTATTTGGCTTATTTCACATGTCTGTTGAGGGTCAAATAAAATAAATAACCAAAATGAAATACACATGATTATATAAATAATATATCACCACTTCATCACAGTGGTGAAGATAAGTATCTCTTTTAGTTCCTTCCGGCTTCCAGACCCTGGTGACTAATCAAAAGCCAGCTCTTGAATTATTATTATTTTACTTACTTACTTACTTATTTATTTATAGGTTTTTGCCATAGGGCACATGTGCTTGCTAGACAGAGACAAAGAAACACAGAGAGAGGGGAAGTGAGAAATCACCCACTGGGAGCATGGTCACACTTCAATCCTTTCTCCTCCACTTTCCTCTCAGGATTTTGGGCACAGGCACACACACACACCCAGCATTCTTTTCTTTTCTTTTCTTTTCTTTTTTTAAAGATTTTTGTTATAAGGCATGTGTGCTTGCCAGAGAGACAGAGAAACAAAAAATGAGAGATCACCCCCCGGGGGATGGCCATGCTGCAGTCCCTTCTCCATTCTCCTCTTGGGATATTGGGCATGCACACATATGCACACGACATGATTTTCAAGTTGTTAGGTCCAGGACACGAGCCACAATCAGCCATGTGGGAATCCAACACCTTAACCACTATGCCACCTGCTGGCCCCTTGAATTAATTTTTTAAGTTTATTCCTTTATTTCTTCCACAAGAGAGACAGATAAACAGATGAGTACCTCCAAGGAGGTTCTCACACTTAGATCCACCCATCTCAGTTGGCCTGGATCATGGACACATGAGTACACCTAGCGTGGTCAAGGAGATGCAGAGACATTAACCTGGGACCTTTCCCTTGTAAGTCCAGTTACATTACTGCTACACCACTACCCGGCCCACCAATGATTACTAATTAGAAAAGTAATTCTCCAAATGTACCATGTCATTGTAAGATGTTAGACACTCTCTGCACTGTTTTTGTAATTTTTTCTGTAAAGCAAAAACTGTTCAAAATAAGTTTATTGGGATTAGCAGTTGGCATAATGGCTATGTTGCTGGACTCCCATGAAGTTGACCACAGTTCGAATCCCAGACCTGGTGGCTTAAACTCATGCTGGGTGCATGCGCATGGATGCCTAAGATCCCAGGAAGAGAAGGGATTGTGGCATGGCTATCCCCCCGGGGGTGATTTCTCGCTTTCTGTCTCTCTGTCTCTCTGTCTTTCTGACGAGCACACAACACCCTATAGCAAAACCCTCTAAATAATAATAGTAATAATAAGTTTATTTTAAAAATACTCTTGGTCCAGAAGATGGTGCAGAAGTTAAGGCTGCTACACCCCACATGACTGACTGATTCGGGTCCAAGACCCGGTGGCTTGAAAAATATGTCAGGCACATGTTGCATGCATGTCAAAAATCCAAAGAGGATAACAGAGGAGAAGGGATTGCAGTGCAGCCATCGCCCTCAGGGGGTGATTTCTCACTCTCTCTCTTTCTCTAGCAAGCACACACCTGTAGAAACTCAACAACAACAACAAAATAGTCTTGAAAAATAAAACTTAAAAAAAGAAAAGAATGTGGTCCTCGAACTTTAGCAGAATTCCCTGGAGGGTTTGTTGTAATACTCATTACCAGGCCCCACTTCTGGAACTGCTGATTCATTAGGTCAGAAGTGGAGCTAGAGAACTTGCATTTCTTTCTTTCTTTCTTTTCTTTTCTTCCTTTCTTTCTTTTGCTACAGAGAGTGCGCATTTGCCAGAGAGAGAAAATGGGAAATCACTCCCCAGAGGGATGGCCCCGCTGCAATTCCTTCTCCATTCTTCTCTTAGATTGTGGGTACACACACATATATGCCTGGCATATTTTTTAACCCACCAGGTCTAGGACTTGGACCACAAAGTCAATTAGATGAGATCCAGCTGCTTTAGCCACCATGCCACCAGTTGGCCCTGAGAACTCACATTTCTGACGAGCAATACTGATATTGCTCATCCGAGGATCACACTTTGAGAACTACTGACCTGAAGTTTAAACTATATAGGCTTCCAGTCTTTCCTGTGGACAAAGGCTCCCATTCATCATGGTTCATCATTATTTGGCTCAATTTATGTGTGACATCACCCCACATTTACCTGCTAGGCAAAGAGAAAAACAACTGATGACTAACTTGAAGTTATTCAGAAGGACAGAGTTAAACTGAGCTTGGAAAATCCCTTCTTATTCTCCTCCTTTCCTCCAACCTTTTTAAAGTTCAAGGCCATGGATCATACCATGCTTAAAATAATACACACATACATATTTAGTTATGTATATTTAAATGTGTACATACACATTTTATTTATTTTTTTGAAAAGGTTTTTGCCATAGAGCATGTGTGCTCGCCAGACAGACAGAGACAGAGAGACAGAAAATGAAAAATCACCCCCCGGGGGGATGGACATGCCGCAATCCCTTCTCCTCCTTACTCTCAGGATCTTGGGCACGCTCGCACACACACCTGGCGTGAGTTTTAAGCCACTGGGTCTGGGACCCGAACCTCAGTCGGCTACATGGGAGTCCTGTGACATAGCCATTAAGCTAACTGCTGGTCCCATACACGTTGTATTTTATGCATATATTTCACGGTAAAGAAATACATGCTTGGGATCAGCATAATGGCTATGTCGTTATGGCTTAGCATAATGGCTATGTCACTGGACTCCCATGTAGTTGACCGCGGTTCAAATCCCGGACCCGGTGGCTTAAACTCACACTGGGCACGTGTATGTGCATGCCCAAGGTCCTGAGAGGAGAATGGAGGAGAAGGGATTGCAGCATGGTCATCCCCCCTGGGGGGGGTGATTTCTCGCTTTCTGTCTCTCTGTCTCTGTCTGTGTGGCGAGCGCACACGCCCTATAGCAAAAACCTCTTCAAAAAAAAATAAAAAAGAAAAAGAAATACATGCTGAGTCCAGAAGGTGGCATGGTGGTTAAAGGCGCTAGACTTCCACAGGGCCAACCACAGTTTAAGTCCTAGACCTGGCGGCTTTCTTTCTCATTTTCTCTCTCTCTCTCTCTTTCTCTGTCTCTCTGTGGTCAAATTGAAAAGTAATGATAATAAATAAACAAACAAATAAATAAATAAATGTTTTTAAGTATATTTATTTTTTAAAAAGAAAGAAATACATGCTAAGGCCAACCAGTGGCCTTGTGGTTAAGGTGGCTGGGTCCCACATGACCAACTGCTCAATTCAAGTGTTGGAACTGGTGGCTTGAAAAACACACTTTGGGGGGTGTGGAGCATGGTGGTGCTTGCCCTATGGTAAAAACCAATAGAGGCTGGAGGATTGCAGCATCAAGTCCATTTTTCTCTGTCTCTCTCTCTCAACTTGCATGACTTTAAGAAAACAAACAAACAAACAAAGAAAACACTGTGGGGGCCAGCAGATGTGGGGTGGGTAGGGCACTAGACTCCCACATGGCTGTCCATGGTTCAAGTCCGGACCTAGTGACTTGCTTTCTCATTTTCCCTCACTCTCCTACTCTCTCTCTCTCTGTTTCTCTCTGGTCTAATTTAAAATAATAATAATTATAAATAAAATAATTAAAATTATAAATAAAATAGTTAATTTTTCTTTTCTTTTCTTTAAAAAAAGAAAGAAAAGAAAAGAAAAACATGCTGGACTTACATGCTTGAGTGCCCAAAATTCTGAGAAGGTAATGGAGGGAAAAGGATTGTGGTGTGGCTAGTTACCCCCAGAGGGTGCTTTTTCACTTTCCTCCGTTGTCTCTCTCTGATGATGCAGGCATCCTATAACAAATAGAGGAAATCAGGAAAAAATTAGAAGAAGAAAAATTAGAGGGCCAGCCCTGTAACCTAGTAGTTAAGTGCTATGCGTGGGGTGCCAAATCCTATATGGATGACTATGACTTGAATTCTGACTTCAGTGGCTTAAAAAACATGCCAAGGGACCAACATTTAGCTTAATGGCTATGTCGCTGGACTCCCATGTAGTTGACAACAGTTCGAGTCCCGGACCTGGTGGTTTAAATTCACACTGGGTGCGCGTGTGTGTGCCCAAGATCCTGAGAGGAGAATGGAGGAGAAGGGATTGCAGCATGGCCATCCCCCCGGGGGGTAATTTCTTGCTTTCTGTCTCTCTATCTCTCTCTGTCTTTTTGACGAGCACACGCGCCCTGTAGCAAAAACTTCTCATCTCAAAAAAAAAAAAAGTAAAAACATACCAGGCATGGGACCGGCAGATTGTGTAATGGTTACATCGCGGGACTCCCATGTAGTTGACTGGAATTCGAGTCTTAGACCTAGCATGAGTGTGCATGCCCAAAATCCTGAGAAGAGAATGGAGAAGAGGTTGTGGCGTGGTCATTCCCCCTAGGGGATGATTTCTCACTTTCCCCTTCTCTGTTTCTCTCTGTCTCTCTGACCAGTGCACATGCCCCATAGCAAAAATTTCTCTTTAAAAAAACATGCCAGGCGGGACCAGCAGTTAGCGTAATGGCTACGTCGCTGGACTCCCATGTAGTCTACCGCAGTTCGCATCCCGGACCCGGTGGCTTAAAACTCACGCAGGGCCCGTGTGCGTGTGTGCCCAAGATCCTGAGAGAACGGAGGAGAAGAGCGCACACGCCCTATAGCAAAAACCTCTCAAAACAAAACAAAACAAAACAAAAACATGCCAGGCAATTGTGATGGGATGGAGAAATGGGTGAAAACCAATTGTAGCCTGTCCATCCCAAGTTGGGGATACTTTCTCTCTCTCAAGATTGTGCATGTGTCCTCTGTCAATAAAATTAAACAAACAGGTCAGCAGGTGGCATGATGGTTAAGGCACTGAACCACAGTTCAAGTCCCAGACCTGGCAGCTTGCTTTCTAACTTTCCCTCTCTCTCTGTTTCTCTCTGGTCAAATTAATAATAATAATAATAATAAATCATTCTTTTAAAT